TTAATTTTTTCTAATTACAAATTTGCACATTGCTTCCATTGTTATGGCTTCCTTGTTTTATTTACCACATGACTGGATTTTCACATGTGTGCAATCCATGCAACCAACGACACGAATAAATTTCGCTATGTCATAAAATTCTCTTTGATTTTTATTTATTTCTTCTCGAGAAGTAGGAAGTTTTATGAACTCATGGCTTAATGCAGCAATGGCAGGAGAGACTCTATGAACAATTCGTTGAGCACTTGTTTCACTAAGTCCAGAGAAATCGCCAATAGTTATCAAAAAAGATTCAGTTGCGTAGAATCTCAAGGCAACCATCAATTGAATTATAGGCGGAATAGCATTGTTACTGTTTTGAAATGTAAAGAGCATCAAATTGAAATATTAATATAAACATTTATGAAAGACATATTACCGTTTTACATATAATTGGACACATTAAATGTTTTATTCACAATAAGACGTTCAGATATATGTATAGATAAGTAAATATACTTACAAATTAGTGTTATGCTCTATTTGATGTGCAATTCTTTCTAATAGCATAATAAAATTATTTTTTGAAACGCGAAATCTTCTTTTGAAGTCAATATCATCGAAAATATCAAAATAATTAATACGTTACATTATACGTCGTGGTCGGCGATTTCTTTGCAGATTGAAATCATTGTATTCATCATAAAGTACATAATTTATGATTTCATCCATGGTAATAATGTTCTCAGGAAATATTTCGCTGATTATAATTTATCTGTAATTTTGTGTATTGCATTGATCACAATGATAGATTATAAAGATACCTGTTACGATTTCTAGTACTACTAAGTATATATTAAAATTTTACTTTTCACATATATTTATTAAGAGGACAAACAATTTAACTTATCGAAAAGAAAGGAGAGATTTCGCTTGAGACGCTTTTATTTTCTTCTTATAAAATATGTTCAACAAAAGAATTTTCTTTTTATCTTTGATTAGCATATGTACATGTATATCGTCAGAATAAAATGGATTATATAGTAAACATTTATATTTTTTTCTAAATCATAATATTTTCCTCGTTGTATGTTCTTCATTTTATTTGAAATATTTGTAATATTATATATTAATAATTTTGTTAATATTATACATGAGATAATCTTTCCACATTCACTTCTTCTTCTTCTCTGGTTATTGGCTCCCGGCTCACAGACACTGAGCCGACACGGCCACGTCGAACCAAACCTAATGGTATTACTTGGAATGTAGTGAATTGAACGATGCAATGGCCCCAATACTCTAGTACCTCGGACCGTTAAGAACACAGCGGTAAAGGCGAATGTACAGCGGTCGACGACGACGAGGAAATCCAGTGCGAGTGATTCCAAGATAAAAAGGCCGACTACAGATCAGTCGCGTAACGAACAGAGCTCCGACGAAGAGGACGGGACGATAGATTTCTTCGGGCTAGCTTCGAACGAGGATACACCGGGTAGCTCCGCGGCGGAATTGTTGGACTCGGAATTGTCCGCGGATCTTATACACAATGGTAACCAGGCCACACGCGTGATGATGCAATCCCGCAGGATCAAAAATTTATCTTCCGTCGGAAGACGTGTGAACCGTTCGACGGCCTAGACGGAACTTTTACCACATTCACGGCGACTTTAACCTGCAAGCACCGGTTAACCTAAAATGTCCTTGCACTTTTGCACTTATTTAGTAGTATTACCAATCCACATATTCTCTCCGATATCAGCTTCGGTTGCAATCCTGCATGTTACTAGACCAGTTGGGTTAACCGGAGATTGGTGAAAGTGGCCCTAATAAAAGTCCCGATTTTCTGAAACTGATGTCCCGAAATTAAATGTTTAAGAGTTGGTCACCCTACCTACGACATTCACTGGAACATAAAAATCGGTTGCCATTTGCAAAAATGGCCGCCATGTAGAAATCTCGAAAGTGGCGCCACCTACAATTAAACTGACATGGCCAACTTCTGCCTCCCTTGGAACCATAAAACTATTGTTGAAAACATTTTTCCTATCTCTTTTATTTTAAGAGATATTTAGCTGCATCACTTAAAATGATACACCCTGTATATATTGGTACCACACAGGTATTATATAAGAACAATAAAATTACATAAAATAAACGATGCTGAAAAGTAACATAAAATAAGATGGAAGAATATAAACATAATGGCAAGACTCAATACAACATACCTCACAAAAATAAAAATACTTTATATTACAATATTTATATCTCAAAGTAATAAATACATATAAAAATATATATAAACGATACAAAATAAATGATATCATTTAGAAGTTATCCTAACTTGTAAGTTGAAAGTTCCTCTGGAGAGAACGAATAAAATCCTTTGGAGTCGATACTAGGAGAAGATAATTTACGTGCAATATTAACAGACTGAACTACACAAATATCATCTCGCTTTGGAAAATAAAATAAATATTTTTCTCTCTTTTTCATAAATTTAATCTTATATTCACTCTCCTTTGAGGAAATTACAACTCCTATGTAATAAACGACAGACTTTTTGGTTTCAAAAGGAACTAGTACATAATCATTTGGGTTAGCTGTTGGCTCAGTCTCGACAAAAGATTTGATATATTTTAAAACAGTCTCGTGGAGTTTTAATTTGTTCTCTATGAATCCGTTGGTAATAGTACATACATAATTTCTCAAACTTATGTATCCATGGCTCTCTATTAATACAGGCTTAACATTTCCTTCGGTATCGTAACTGTACCATGAACACAACACTCCTACTTCACAATTTGATTTATAATTGACAATTGCACATTCCTTGGAAAATTCTCTGAATTTTCCACTCTCTCTCACTCTTTCTCTTTTATCTTGAAGGTAGGAAGAACTTAAAATTAAACCTAAAAGTATTACATTGTTTTCGGTCTGTCGAAAAAGGCACCACTCCCCGATAGTTATATCATCACAAGTTCTACAAGATGGTGTTAATAGATTCAATTTTAAAGTAGATTTTGGTTTAGAAGAATATTCCTTTTCCATTACACGTTGTAAACGATCACTACTAAGGCGATCACAACTTCTATTAAGAAGCCAACAGATGGACGATTTTCTAACAACAATTTCTTTACCATGCGTGTCTGTAACAATGGTAAATGGACTTGTTTTTTGTTAGTGAAGTGCGTAAAACCGAGCCCAAATACCGAGACGGACCAAGACAAACTGGAACGCGCAATCGGTTGGCTGTTCCTCGCATGTGATGACCATGTAAAGCA